AATGCCCTCCTTTCGCTTTATCATAGTCTGTGTCACATTTGATACGGTATTGATTTTAGAAATCAAACTAATTATTTTCAAATAATAGTAGATTCTCATGCAGTTGTAAGAAGTAGGACAGGAAGTAAATACACCCTTAAGCCAGTTCACCTCAGTGATGCATCCTATGAAGCAAAGCAACTAGGGTCTGGACACTGATTCAATCTCTGACCCGGTTCAGATTTCCCATTTTAGTTGTATTCATGTGTGCGCATGTGCACGCATGCGCACATTCATGTGTGTATGCAGTGATGCAATTGTATGTCTCCTCCATGGATCCAGAGAGAGCATTCCAGGCCCATCACCCTTCCATAACCACACACCACTGCAGCCCTCCTTAACGTCTGGCTACCATTGGTCTCATCTTCATTTCCTTCTCTTGGCTTTTCTGTTTGCCTTTTTGAGACAGCATCTCACTGTGCAGTTCAGGCTGCCCTAGAACTCACTTTGTAGCCCAGGCTGGCCTAAAACTCACAGCAATCCTCCTGCCTCAGCCTCCCAAGTGCTGGGATTACAGGCGTGTGCCACCATGCCTGGCTTGTTCTTTATTTCTGTAACTGTTATTTTAGGAACTTCTATATAAAATCACATAGTAGGTGAACATTCCAAGCTGACTTTCAAACTCTGCGTGGTTCTCTGGGACTCACCTAAGTCGTGCGCTTGCTCCCTGTCATCGATGAGTGGTGTCCCACAGACGTGTGCACCAGAGCTCGCTTAACCTCTCGTCTGCTTTGGCACACTTGGGTTATCTGTAGTTTAATACAGCTTTGAACCAATGTAGGATTTTATGTGAGCATTTCCATTTCTTTGGGATAAATGGCCAAGAATGTGATTTTTAACCATACTCAGGCTGGGTTATTATCCCCTATGCTGGATTCTTTGAGGTCAGCTGTTGTGTCTGACGTGGTAACACTCGTGTTAGGAAATGATGAATAAAATGTGCATGGACCGGAAGAAGAAAGGAAGAAGAGAGAGAAAAATAAGCCCTATTACCACTGTCTAGTGTTAGCTATTCCCACCCTTTTGTCTTCCCACTTCATCATCTTTCAATTTTTGGTAGTGAGCCCAGTGACTGTGGTACGAAATAGTGCCTGGCACACAGTAGTTGCTTAGCACATGTTTGTAAAGTGATGTAATGAATGCTCTAGAGAGCAGATCCGCTCTCCTGCCCCATCCCAGCCCCCATCCCCCATCCCATCCCCCATCCCATCCCCATCCCATCCCCCATCCCATTCCCCATCTCATCCCCCCATCCCATCCCCCATCCCATCCCCCATCCCATCCCCAGCACTCAGGCACTGGCGCATGCGCGCACATGCGCACATACACGCGCACGCATCCAAGTGCTGGGGCTGCGATCTCAACGGTCTTCAGTGCAGCCACATCAGGAGTCAACAAACGAAGAGCTGCTGACCAAAGCTTGGTTAACACAAACCTTGGCCTTGTCTGTGGATTGCGTGGGGAATTAGAGAGGAAGGGCTTGGGGACCCAGGCACTCCGTGGACTCATTCCAGTGAGAATACCGCGATGCACTCGAAGTACAGAATGCTTCTTTGTGACTCATTAAGTGCCTCTCTGTGTCTCTCTATTAGGCATGTGTCTGTAGTGTCTCGCAAAGCTATGACATTCAAAAGTGGAAGAATCTGGTGGAAATAAAAACATTTTACTTCCGTGCCTAACCCATGTGCCCCTTAATTGGAAATAAATCTGTGACAAGCGACAGATACTTCTTTCAGAAGGTTGTGGGGAAAGGCTTGACTTGTCCTAGTAAATCAGACACAGACTTCATTATTTTTAGTCTTGTTAAAAAAGTTGCCATAGCAACGACACCATCATCCAGGGCAAATGTTACCTCTTCAAGTCAATAACACGAGGAACTGTCCTACAAATACCAAGCGCTTTTCAGGGGGAAAAATGACTTTCCGATAAGTGAGTTTCTTCTAAGTCTTCACAATTCATCTTCATGTGTAAGCTCAGAGCTCTTCCCCCTGTAAATAAGAGATATTGAAAGCAACACAACTTTGTAAGATCCAAAGCTGACCTTTCTCAGACCTCTTTCCAGAAAATCGTTAATTCTATTAGTCCTGTGAAATGTGTAGCTTTATTTGTGGCTTTTCATTTCACCCACTGGAGGCGTGATGATAATTAATCTGACCCTTGGGCAGAATACTGTGCATTCTGAGGGAGCGGCAGGGAAGGCCACTGGGAGTGTGCACACGCGGTGAGGGAGCGGCAGGGAAGGCCACTCGGGAGTGTGCACACGCGGTGAGGGAGCGGCAGGGAAGGCTACTGGGAGTGTGCACACGCGTTTCTAAGCTCCGGAGACATCGTGCTCAGGGAAGCAGCAAAAAGCTTAGCAGCTCCCAGCCTTCCCAAGCACCTGCGGAGCGGGAAGCCACCCGGTAAGCACTGGGTGGCTGAGTCTGTTCAGCTCTATTTTGCATCAGAGCTGAAATTATTTGGGAATATTCATGAAGATGCATTAATAAATGGAATTTTGCAACACTGGTAACTTTGGATCCCCCCAAGTGTGGGCTTTGGGCCTTAAAAGTTACTTCCGTTTCCTTTTGTTCCCACTGAAAAACATGTTAGCAGTAGCGCCAGGCCTCAGCCCCCCAGGGTGGCTGGGAGGCAGGTTGGCCCCAAGGTGACACTACTTCAACGCGCTGCGAAGGTCCCACGGTCCCCAGAGGCTTTGCTTCCTCTACTCTCAGACTCAGATGTTTTATTCTCACCTCCAGTACCGTTGCAGCTGGGTGCCTCATTGAGGCCGTGACACAGTTTTTTGCTGGCAGCTTTTTTCTTCTTAGTGGAGCGCAAAGCGACGATGGTCTTGTGGAAGGGAAACGAGGGCGGTGCAGAATCCCGGAGCACCTCCTGCCGAGTGCTGCGAGGATCGGTTGGTTGATAGATGTTGCACAGGGGCAAGGGAAATAGATCAATAGAATAAGTGCTTGCCTGGCAAGAGCAAGGGCCTGAGTTCAATCCCCGGTTCTGCCAAAAATAAATAACTAAATAGATAGACGTTGCGTTACAAAGCATTCAGCTGCCCTCTAGGGCCGAGGCATTTTCAGTGTGTGGAGTGAGGAGGGGTGGAAGACCTCCAAGCTGCATTCCCATGAGAAATGAACGCTGTCCCCTTGTTGCGTAGCTGAGTGATTTCCCAGAGTTATCCTTGATCACAAACCAGCAGTTGTCAGAGTCAAGTTCTCAACAAAATCCTTACAAAACCTCATGGTGGTGAGACGACGCCTTTGGGTGCTCATCTAACTTGTCCTCAGCTGTTCTTGGCAAATCTTTAGGTTTTGGAGCTGAAGAGGGAGCTCGTGAGTCTTGCAGTCAAACCCTACTATGTTACAGATGGGGAAACTGAGGCTGAGAAAAGCTGCTTGCCCGGGGGCAGGAAGTTGTAGCCCTGAGAACCAGCGTGGCTGACTCAGGAGGAGCGCCTCTGGGCATACAGCACCCGCTCAGGCTGAGGAGCTAACCCACCTGCTCTCATATCCCTTGCTAACAAGACTTTAGAAATAGGTGGTTACAAAGTGACCACCGGGCCTCCATTTCTCCCAACATAAAAAGGATAAACAGTAAACAGAATTGCTGGGAAGTTTAGAGATGACAGATGAAGATCAGCTTGGGTTCTCAGTGCCTGGTGCGGAGGAGACAAGAGGGCCATTCTGGCATGATGAGCTCTGCCAATGTGTCACATGGCCCTCTGAGCTCCAGCACGGAAGGCCCTGTGGGCCCCCCCTTTGCTGTTGGTCATTGTTCTGGGAGTGTGCAGAGGCCAGGGTCTGTGCTCCAGACCTGAAAGGCTTGAGCACCCCTCTTCAGAAACCCAGCCCCCAGCTGTTCTCAGCTTTCAGGCTCCGGGTGGCCCAGCCAGTTGGGAAGATCACTGAGGTTGCAGTGTGTCCCACAGGCCCTGCTCAGATTTGGCTGCTCACAGGCTGAAGGGCCATAGAAAGCCTTCTATCCCAAGCCCAGTTCTGTTGTCCATAAGGCACAGAGAACCATATGATTTTAGACATAGGTGGTGTGTTGATGACAGTGTTACAGGTTTTCAAGTCTCAAACCTTCGATGAGTAGTGGATTTGCTCAAGGGATACCTTTCTTTGTGGAAAGTGGAATGTTCGAACTTCTTTATTTGGCTATGTTAGCTCTTTAACATTTTAACTGTCTCTGGCTGTGTCATGATTTGCTGTGATGTGTAAACTCCCGAGGGCATTTACTCTTTAGAGCCCCAGAGGAATGCCTTCACCAAGCAGGTTTTTTACCCATTTGCATGCTGTTGTTGCAGATTGGAATATAAACTAAATCACATGCTCATAGAAAATGACTATTCTGTTCCTATTTTAATCTCTTAAGATAAAAAAAAAATCAAACAACATTTCCACTAGAACAGCATCAATGTCCTCCTGTGCAGAACAAATGGGTACATACTGGTTTATTATCATTTAAAAATACTAATATCAACTGATTTTCTATAATAAAAATCTTAGCCAATGTAGAAAGAGTGGAAAATGTCGAAAAGTTATGTAGAAGAAATGAACAATCACCTTTAAGCCCCAAGACTCTTTTTAAGATATTATTAGTATTCTGTATGACTTTACCAGCTGCGAGATGTTCAACATATTTCCTCTCAGTGAGCGATCCCATGTTCTTTCCAGTAAGAATTATCATTTTGTTATTTTTCAGTGAACTGAGACGTGCTGTGTGTTCAAGGAAAGAGTTTGCCTTGAGCTGCTAGTGACTTGCTCCTATTTCTAAGGAAACTGTGGTTATCATAAAGGAGAACTTAATCCACCTTGCCCCAGTGCATTTATTCTCTCAAAACCAGGTGAACCATCTCTGCTGACTTCACTGGGATTATGTCACCCACCGAGGCAACTTTCTGTTTCAGTAGGTGATGCTAAGAAACAAAACAACACCCTTTCAGTTAATCAGTTTTGGAAAAGAGACTGGCTTTATATTCCACAGCTTTGATGTGCTTAGTGGTTCCTGGAAGGATCTGCCTCTCTTCTGCTTTGATTGACAAGCCCTTTCCTCTATATTTGGGCAAGTGATGAGCCCCATAACAGAAGGTAGAGACGTTTCTATAGAGTGGACTTCTGCCACCCCTTGTGACTTTCTTAGACCTTGGGTGTAAGTGTCAGCTCCAGAAGAAGAGTTGGTAAGTGCCTCTCCACTTTGTAGCTTCATTCCTCCTTCAGGGAAGCCCAAGAACTTCTATGTATGACAGCAGGTCAGAGGTAGGAGCTAGGAGGGCAGGTTGGAAATGCTAGCTGGATTGAGTGATAATGTCTTAAGAGCATTCAACAAACACACTTGGATATCTGGGTATATTTAGTAAACGACTGAGATCCAGTGATGACAGCTTTTGAAGCTTCCCATCATTTTGAATATAAATTTATTAACAACTAGGTACTTATTACAGTGGATGTATAGAGCAGAGGCGATCTGTAAGTAGGACACATCTCTTATGAGTGGCCATGACTGGGGACCTATGGTTTTTTTGGTGGGCTGGGTTAGAAGCAACACATGTAGGCCATGTCATTATTAGTATTTACCTGCCTCCTCCCATTCATTTCTTAGCTATGACATTGAAACTATAATTTTGAGCAAAGCGTAAAGCATGGCACCCCAATACCCTGAACCTAAATAAAATAATTTTTGTGTGCTCATGTATTATCTTAGGACATGCATGACTTTTGGTGTTATTTATACCTTGTGTTAATTTTGGAGAGATTGTTAGGATGCATTTCTTCTTCTTTTTTTTGTCATAGAAGAGCCAGACTTTAAAATTTTTCTCCTAGTTTTTTCTTAATATGTTATTTGTGCTTATTAATTTTGAAACTATTAGGTTTCGATGTGGTATTTTCATACATACATCTATTTTCATCATATACATCTCCACTTAAATTTCTTTAACATGTAAGTTAACAGCAGCAGTGGGGTTGCACTAAGGCAAATCCCAAGAATGCAGTTTGAAGGTTGGGGATCTAGAAAGATCCGTGGAATCTCTACTGGAGCCAGTTATGGAAGACTTTGGGCACTAGTGTTGGCATTTCATGGTATTTATGTTTCCTGGCTCACTTTTCCTGAAATGCAAAAAGCAAGGTCCCGTGGATAGCAGCAAGCACATCTTGGCTCTACCTCTCGGGGCAGTGGGGTTGCCCAACTCTATGTCCTTTCCCTTTCTGGAGGAACATCATGAAGCTGGTGTACCTCTTCTTGGGTGCCATGGCCCTGCTCTTTCCGTGTGGCTGTGGACCTGTCCTCGGTGCCTCCAGTGGTGACCTTCGGACCTTTGTGGGCTGTGCTGTGAGGGAGTTTACCTTCCGGGCCAAGAAGCCGGGCTGCAGGGGCCTTCGTATCACCACGGATGCCTGCTGGGGCCGCTGTGAGACCTGGGAGGTGAGTGGCAGGCAGCGCCTCCCAGACCAGCTGCTGGGGCCTGATTCCTAAGTGTTCACTGTTTCAGAGAGGGGAAGTAGAAGCAGGGCATCCTCTCTTTCCTGTGGATTAAAAGAGCAATTCCATAATTATTTGGCAGCTTGCAAAAATGATGTAAAAAGTCAGGTTGCCCCCCTCAGAAGGCACCGATCCGGTTAGTAGCGTGGTTGATAAGGTGTCTGTGCACCTTGTACAAATCTCTGGGAGGTCAGAATGTGCTACACTGTTCTACCCATTTCACAGATCAAGTGGAAGAGTCAAAGAGTGGCTGTAAGTCACAGAGAATTGGTATAAAGCTGGGAATCAACCCTTGGTTACATGTGAGTCACTCTCCTCCCTCATCTGTCACAAAGTCAGCCAGTTACTGAGACAGGGGGCTCTGGGTTGTATGGTAAGGGAGTGGGACCTTGGCCTCTTCTATAGTGCCTCACCCCAGCCCATCTGCCTCTGTTCCCTGAGGACCTCTGGAAGTCATGGACAGAGCCAACAACTCCCTTTATTTTCAGTTAGATCTGGCCTCTTATATATTAAAAAAAAAAAAGGCCTAAAAATCTCAAAATAAAGTTGGAATCCTGCTGGAGCTTGATTGGGAGCTGTTAGGGAATCATCATCCCAATGAACTCCTGTCATGTCACATCCCGAGTGACTGTTGGGTGCTACCAGTGCCTGGGTTGTCTCCTGAACAGTTCTGGTCTTGCCACCCCCAGCTCCAAAGCCTTTAATGTCCACCCACTTGCACAAATTCAATCCAATGGTTGTCTTCAACGTGATGGTGGACACCTTAGCTCCCTGTATTCTTGGCTTTGGCCTGGTCAAGTTGACTTTTACTTATTTATTTATCTTTTTGGTGGTACCAGGGATTGAACTCAGGAACTTGTGCTTGCCAGGCAAGCACTTATTCCATCCAGCTATCTCCCCAGCCCACTGAGCTAGCTCCCCAGCCGTTGACTTTTAAAGATTTTCTACCAGGGCCCTCACAAAATTTTATTCTAACTCCTTTCTCATATCCTTTTCATTTCCACAAACTGTCCTAGTCTCTAGCTTGATGAAAACCAGCTTCAGAGAACAGAACCTCAGGAGAAGGGGGCTTTGCTTCAGGGGCTGGAGAGCAACCTGCTGCTGCTTAGAGAACACTGGGCCTTCTGAATGGAACTGGGTTTTGGTGAAGAGATGACCAAATTAAATGAACTGACTCCATAATATTACCTATCCTACCCTACCTGACCCGACCTGTCCCGACCTGACCCAACTCGACTCTACCCTACCCTACTCTACTCTTTTATCACTTTGCATTATTCAGGGGCCTGCACCTAAGAAACCAAATAAAAATTCAGTAGTCCTCAGTACATTCTGTCTGTCCATTGACAACAAATGAACTCAGGGAATCTTCTCCTACGCAGGACCTGGCCCAGCACTGCCTTCCACAATGCCTTGCATCTGGCTAGTGGGAGAGTTCTGTGCACCACCATCTCAAGCTCCAGGTTCCCCTCACCCAGTCTGTCCTTCCTTCTTCTATCCCTTGCCCAAGGTCTGTAACAGACCCCCTGGTCACTCACAGGAGGAGAAGGACTGAGCTATCCCTGGAGAAATGGAAAAACCAAGCCCAGGAAAGAACCAGATTTTTCCTAATATTGGCCAGCTTTTGTGTGTGTGTGTGTGTGTGTGTGTGTGTGTGTGTGTGTGTATGTGTGTGTTTCTTGTGTTAGGAAAAGTGAAGTTATCTGAGTAAAGAATACAAGAATTAGAAGGCTCAGATTCATTTTCCCAGCAAAAGAAAATTTCTGAAGTAAGGATACTGTTTTTGTTTTTGATAGCCTACCAAAAGTAAGGCTGTCTGAAAATAAGGGTGTTTATGACAAGTGGCTGGGTTTTCTTTAAAAGCATATATCTGTCCCACATATTATTCTAAGAGGTTAATTATTCTGAAACATAACTTTAACTGGATGTCTGATCCGCTTAGGTTCTCAGAGTGCTAAGATGAGAGAACACAAAATAAAAGGAGGCAGGAGGAGAAAGCTGACAAATTCAACTTTCTGAGGACAAATTCTTCATGGTCCTCATGGAAGGCAAAGTTGCTATTTTCATAGCATTTGTGCAAGGACTTCATCTGGGTTCTCATCTATCTATCTATCATCTATCTATCTATCTATCTATCTATCTATCTATTTATATATCTGTCTATTTGTCTATTCATCTATGTGTCTATCGAATATTTGTTGGTCTATCTATCTATCTGTCTACCTACTTTTTGCCCAGAGCAAGTGAAGGCACTATGCTTTGGAAGATTAGTTTTTCATTATTACTTCCCAATATTTGGCCGAGTAAGATAGTAGCTCACACTGACTGGACACTTACCTTATGTGACCTTGTGGGCATGGCGTTACCATTTTCCTTATTTCCACAGCAATGCTATGAGGTTGGTGTTTGGCTGCATGAGGAAACTGGGCACCAGTGAGTTAACTTGTCCAGGTCTCTGACAGGTGCACAAGCTAAACAGGTCTGACTATAGAGCTCTGGATGTTTATGTTTACCATACTACCCTGTGCTGGTTTTTCGCTGGTCTGTGTGCTTGGTTTAGCAAAATCATCTTGGAAGTCAGGGTTTATAAGGTGGAGGATGGAAGAGACCCTTTCACATATCAGAACATTTCACAGAGCATTCGGGAAGCTGTTTTTTTCTTTGATTCATCAGATGCTCATGGAGAGCCTCCTGGATCCCCTCTGGGGATGGGTCTGCAGTGATCAAATGGTCAAGAACCCTGGTCATAACAGGCTAAAGAGTTGCTTGTCATAGAACAAGATAAAATAGGTAAGATGTCTCTTGGAGTGGAGAAAACGAAGCAGGAAGCAGGAGAGGAGACACTAGAACACGGAGCTGAGATGTTGTATTTTAAGTAGGATGTAAGGAAACGCTTCCCTTGGGAGGCTGACATTTGAACAAAAACGTAAGGGTGGAGCAGTGGAGGTTAGGGGACAGGAATGTTCCAGGCAGGGGACAGCAAGCAAGAAGGGTCTCAGAGGGGTAATCTGAGGAACAATAGGAATCACTGCGGCTGGAGCCAGGTGAAGAAGTCACGAGGTGGGGGCATCACAGACACATCAGGAGAAGGACGAGATTCGAATCTTTTATCTTACTTTATTTTTTTAAAATGTATTTGGTTGTCACCGGGTCTCAGTATGAACCTTGGACTCATAGTGATCCTTCTACTTTCAGCCTCCCCAGCGCTAGGATTACAGGTGTGCACCACTACGCCTCGACTTGGTGGCTAGCTCAGCCCGCCCTGGGGGGTGGGGCTGGTGTGGCATGTGGTGCTGGGGACTGAACCCTGGTCCCTGCACATGCCTAAGCAGGCACTTTAGTCTGCTGAGCATTCTTGCTGGCCCGGAGATTTGATTTTTTTTTTTTTTT